ACGAACGTAACAGCACATCTATCCCCAACATAACAAACCCATAACACAGCGAGGGAGAACTAAGTTACATAAAACAATCCCAACTACATATTTTACACCACTCATAAGGGAAAAGTCGCTACTCACGGAGTGTAAGGCTAGCTTCCAGCTTTCCGCTACTTCTCTTTCAAGGTAGTGATGAAACGCGTTCTGTAGCGCTGTTCGCGTTCGGCTACGGTAGAAATATGACGTCACAACATGGCGACCTTCATAGAAGGGGATTCCCGCGGTTATGGAGCTATAAATGTCTCATTCTAAGGTAATAAAAACATTACGGTTAATTAAGTAAGTTCTTTATACACCACTGAAAACATAGTTATGGATGCCATACTGCATTTCTGTTAATATATACTCAACTTTTTTACACATTGCACCTTTAATAATGTAAATAATAACTACATTCTCTAAAACATGAGCATGTATAAAATGCAATTTTTACGCCAGGCAGACATACGCTAATTTGCACTCTCATTAAGATACGCTGCATTGGGTACACTTCTTAAGCACAAATGGAGGTGGTCCAAGAGAGAATTAAAGATGGAGAATTAAAAACAAAACTAATATGCAATGGCTGGGAAGTGTGTGTGTGTGTGTGTGTGTGAAGTGAATGTGTGTGCGCATGTGCTGGATCATCATAAGTGTCTTCATTAGTAGCAAATGCTTTTGCTTATAGTTAATGTCAGTTAATTGAATAAATCCACTTAATGCCCGTTCACAACAGCAATAACTATTACAGTAACTAATAATCGTTCATTGTAATGATAACGAACACATTTACTAGCTTCTGTAAAGTGCAAATTGGCTTTGCCTGTGATTATTGAGTGAATTATCTAGAATCTGGACCCGAACATGAGCCATGTATGACCCGAACATGAGCCAAACATGATCCGAACACGAGCCAAACATGCCCCGAACATGAGCCCAATGTGACCCAATAATGAGCCAAACATGACCCGAACATGAGCCATATATGATCTGATCATGAGCCAAACATGACACAAACATGAGCCGAACATGACCCGATCATGAGCCGAACGTGACCCGAACATGGGCCATATATGACCCGAACATGAGCCATGTATGACCCGAACATGAGCCAAACATGCCCCGAACATGAGCCATATGTGACCCAATAATGAGCCAAACATGACCCGAACATGAGCCATATATGATATGATCATGAGCCAAACATGACACAAACATGAGCCGATCATGAGCCGAACGTGACACAAACATGAGCCGATCATGAGCCGAACGTGACCCGAACATGGGCTATGTATGACCCGAACATGAGCCATGTATGACCCGAACATGAGCCAAACATGCCCCGAACATGAGCCATATATGACCCGAACATGAGCCATGTATGACCCGAACATGAGCCAAACATGACCCGAACACGAGCCAAACATGCCCCGAACATGAGCCATATGTGAGCCAAAAATGACCCGAACATGAGCCATATATATGATCATGAGCCAAACATGACACAAACATGAGCCGAACATGGGCCATATATGACCCATCACGAGCCAAACACGACACAAACATGAGCCCGAACATGACTCGATCATGAGCCGAACGTGATCCAAACATGACCCGAACACAACACAAACAGGATCCGAACACGACGCAAACAGGATCCGAACACGACGCAAACAGGATCCGAACACAACACAAACAGGATCCGAACACGACGCAAACATGAGCCAAACACGACACAAGCATGAGCCGAACACGACACAAACATGACCCGAATATGACACAAACATGTGCCGAACACGACACAAATGTGACCCGATCATGACCCAAACATGACCCGATCATGACCCAAACATGAGCAGAACATGAGCCGAACATGACCATAACATGAGCCACGATTGAGTCATACACTGAATCGAGTAAGTTATTGATTCAGTGACTTGATTGCTTCGTTCCTGAATGAATTGGTTGAGTAAATGATTCAATGACTTGCTCATTAAGAAAGTAACTTGGCATTTCATATTTTGAGTATCATTTATTATTTCATGCAAATTCATGCCTCCCTTGAGCTTCAAAGAACAGTCTGTGTAAATATACATATAAATGGCACTTCAGATGCTGAACAATGTTCCTCTCTAAAGCTACTTTCAATGCTTTTCTCATTTAACACAATGAAAATGCATCCGATTAGTTAATCAGCTCATCATGTAATTACTTACACTTTTTTAAAAAGTAGTCGTGACGACTTGACAGTCGTCATTTTTATTGACATTAACAAATTATAATAATTAAATGAAATAGGCCTTAAAGGTGCCCTATAATGTTTTTTTTTAATTATTTTATAATGTTTCCTGGGTTGCCCTTATAATGTTAGTATGTTTTTTAGATCAAAAATAGTAATAATTTAGAAATAAAAGGCATTTTTCCTAGCCTGATTTTAGCCTCTGCTTTGAACACCCGTTTGAAGGGGCGTGTCTGGCTGTGTGTAACCGGCCTCTGCTGTGATTGGCTGACATGCTTGCATATGAAATAGCTATGTAGCCTATTACATGTGAAACTCTCTCGAATAATTTTACTACAGCTATTATAGGTTTTTACTATTACAGCTATCGAGATTAACGAATCGTGAGATGTTTTTGAAGTATTTAGATCTATTCCCATCACATAAAGTGTTTCTGTGATTGAGCAAGCAAAGGACAGTGAGTGTGTCAAATGCGAGAATGAAGATTGCAATGCAGTCTCTCTATTCTCTAATGCAGCAGACACGATGATGTAAATACAGTTAACGTTAGAGTTTCGTTGTGCAGTGTAACGTGCGTCATTGAATTTTCAATGAGTTTGGCAAGTGTCCAGATAAACTCGCGCTGTGATTAGGGTTGGGTATCGTTTGAATTTGAACGATTCTGATTCCGATTCCGATTCCTTGTTTCGATTCCGGTTCCTAACGATTCTCGATTCCGATTCTTTTAAGAGTCAGGGTCAAAAAAGTTTAGCTAACCTTGCTAACCAACGGTCTTTCTGAAGGAAATAATCCTTTCTGAAGGAAATACTCCTTCTGTAAAATACTCCTTTTGTCACAAATTTTGCATTTTGCCGAGATTTCGTTATTTTTAGAAAAGTGAAGCCACACTTTGGATCGCCGACGTAAGGTACTCATGTTCGACTCGCGTGGTTATGCCAACACTTCCGGTAGACGCTTCTTCGTTGGTGTTGTTCAGCGGTTTCTTCTTCCGCTCGGCGGACTGTGAATATCGAAACTAGGAATCGAAATTTTAACTTTTGAACGATTCCGGGAAAAACTAAAAGTTAGTCTCGGTTCCAATCGATACTCGATTCTCGATACCCAACCCTAGCTGTGATTGTTCTTTGATCGCTTTCTTTCTGAATATAATTCACAATTTAAATAAGATTTTTTTTCATCCTACTAAAAGAAACGATGTGAAGTTGATTTTTAATCACTGGCCTGACTTACTGATGCAAAAACAGTATTGAACGATTAAAATTAATCCATTGTTTCTTCAGAGGCTCGGACGAAGGAACTAAAATATACTTTTGTATTCATGTGTACATCCGAACACTGATCAACTGCCATGCTTCGGCTGCGCAGCTCCGTCTCGTCTATCACTGAACATGGGCTGGCATATGCAAATGTTCGGAGTCATACATATTAATGATCCCGACTTTTACGTCAGAGTCGGTATTATGTGGAGATTCGCCTGTTTTTCAGGGGTGTTTTTCAAAAACGAGATTTAAGTAAGAAGGAGAAAACAATGATGTTTGAGACTCACTGTATGTCATGTCCATGTACTGAACTCTTGTTATTTAACTATGCCAACATAAATTCAATTTCACAGTATAGGGCACCTTTAATATATTTGTGTTAGTTAATGCATTAACAAATATGACCTTATCGTTACCAATTGCATAAAGAGAAGGAAGCCTGTGTTAAGGCCAGAAGGTGTTTAGTGTTTTCATCACGTTTATATGAATATTCTCAAGCTTTTTCCTGTAAAACACACTGAACGTCGAGTTAGCCCGAGTTTGTTGTGAATTCCATGAGCGAGCGTGTGTGTGTGTTTCTGTTTCTGCTTGGCTCTGGTTCCACACCCATCTGAACTGTTTCTGTCGAGCGTTTCGTCTTTTGTTGAGTCAAGGCTAGCAGAAACCGAACGAACACAACTCCTGTTCTGTGATTAACCGTTTGTGCTCCTCTCTAATCCTCTCAGAGGTGTGGACTCTCTCGTTTCTCCTCATTTTCCTCGATCCCTCCATCATGTATAATAAAGCATGATTGTGCAGTAACAGGAGAACAAGAAGCAGATCCAACTCCACCGCTTCTCATGCTAATGAGACACGCGCGACAGTGGTCATGATATTTCACACACATCCGTGTAGAAACTGTGTGTTTGTGCTCGTGTGTGCAGTGAATCCTCTGTGGTTGCTATAGCAACACACACACACACACACACACACACACACACACGGTTCCACTATTCTAACATGCATTTATTTCTTTATTTTCCGACGGTGATTCAGCAGAAGGCTAGGCTAATGGTGTCCGCGGATGTTCGAGGGTAAAACAGCACAAAATGGCGTCGCTGCTGTTTGTGTGATTTTGTGTCTCATCGCACGAAGGCACACAGTGAATGTGAACAAAAACACACAATCAATGTGTATTTTATGTATTTTTTGTAAGTTGTCAATAACTGGCATAACTACATTATTTCAGCATATATATATATATATATATATTATAATATAATTATGTACAGTACATATGATGCAAATATTTCTTAAGTGTGTATTTATATATATATTTTGTAAACACAAACTTTTATTTTGGATGTTGGATGATTAATTGTTGCCCAGCACTAATATATATATATATATATGCTGAAATAATGCAACTATGCCAGTTATTGACAGAATAAATTATTCGATTTGTTTTAAAATGTTAAATAACTAATGTTTTTTTGTAGATGGAAGATGGTCAGACTCTCTTTGATTACAACGTCGGCCTGAACGACATCGTCCAGCTTCTGATTCGCTCTCAGTCTGACCCGCCGGAAAGCCCCGCCCTCAACAACGGGCAGGGTGTGGCCTGTGTCGTAGCTCCACCCCTAACCACGTCTGTCCCAGCCTCAGCCACACCCACCACAACAGCCGTTTCCCCGACAACCGTCTCCAACAGCAATGGAAACGATTCCAAATCCCTCATCCCAGAGTCGGACAGTGAGCCGTCCACATCCAGCCGAACATTCCTCCTCGATCCCGGGATCGGGCACTTCAAAGTAAGACTCGTCAAACTGATGAATAATTACTGACATATTAATGATCATCATTGCATTACTCACAATTACAACATGTACATAGAGCTTATGACAAATTCTTTTATTTATACATTTTACAGTAAGTATTTAAGTGCACTATAATACATTGATAGTGTTATAAAACATTTTTGATATATGCATTAATGATAACAATAATACATTTGATCACTTTTATATAATTTATTAAATTAAATGTGAATTCTAACATAATGAAAGTAATGAAAAAAATACATTTAATTTATTGAACATTAATTAATTTCACTGAATTCAAAGAGTTTCAAAGAGTGCTTTGAAACATTACTATATACATTTATAATAACAATTATACATCTGATTATTTTAATATTATTTAATAGTTGGATGAGATGAGTTGTGTACCAAAACCAGTGATGTTTTCGTCAGTGATGACGATAACGAAATGATTTCGTTAACGCACCGTTTTTTTATGACGATAACACGACGATGACTAGCTAAAAATAGCTCTGAGGTGACTAAAACATGACGAGATGTTTTCAAGATTTCGTTGGCGAGACGAGACGGAACGAAAATGATTATAAGTCTGACGTTCACAATGCATGTAATTTATGCCTGTTTTGCGTGAAATCGGTCTGTATGGAGCTAAAAATAAGTATCAGCAATGCTGCCGTCTATCAATGCTTCCTATCGCGTGCGCCCAGCACCGGCGCCGTGCGCGCACCAGATTCCACACAACAACAACACAGGGTTTAATGGTAGTTTTTGTACCAAGTCAAATCAATAGAGTTGGACAAAAACTAGGATAAAACCTGTTGGAAAGCATATTTTGCAGCGATGTTTGTGTGAGCATATCAGTGAACATCCCTGACCACTCGGTGAGTTTGACGTCTTTGTAAACGAATGTTTAATGCGTTTTATGAATGATTGTGTGGGTGCTAACACACAAACCTAAAATTCTCGGGACAACAGCATTTGTCCAAATTTCAATCTTAACATTTCAACAGAAACGATCTTAAAACAGGGCTTTAAGTGTAAAATACCGAACTAACCAAGACCAAATACAGTGTTTATTCAGGGATTGTCTTATTCATTTTTATGTTCAACACACTCCAAGTGTCATGTTTGTTTCGTACTTTATATTCAAGTATGCATTCTTTGTTCAATGCACCTCAGTATTCGATATTTATTTTATTATTTTGTTTCAGAATGTTTGCAACTTGCACTTTGCACAAGTTAAAGATAGACTGTGTTGTATACATAATGTTTGTGTTTAAAATAATATGCATCTTATTGTTGCATACTACGTTGTTCATTGCACTTTAGCAATTTCTAAAATTAAGCCACAATTGCCAAAGTAAGAATGTTTTTACTCTTGGCTTTTTTGGAGCAAAACAGTGATTCCACTGTTACCACTTTATCTGTGTACAATGTTCTTGTAGCTCAACATTTTTGCTGTTTAAACTTTAAACCATTCCTTTATTCCTTTATTACTGTGATAACTGGTGAAATAGCTTGTAATATTCAGGGGTAAAACTAGAACTTGAAATATGGGAATAAAAGGTTTCTGCCCAATGTGACAATGAAGTACAGCTTGGCAATGGCAGCACTGCATCTCCATCAATGAGAAAGTCTAGTTTATTATGCAAAGGTTTTAAAGGGTTAGTTCACCCAAAAATGAAAATTAAGTCATTAATTACTCACCCCCATGCTGTACCAACCCCGTAAGACCTTCGTTCGTCTTCGGAACACAAATGAAGATATTTTTGATTAAATTTGAGAGCTGTATAACTACCACATTGGCTCCTAAGGGACTGCCTCTTGACGGCCCAAAAAGTCAATGAAGAAAATGTTTAAATATCCCAAGTGACTACCGTGGCTCAACTATATGTTTATCAAGCGGCGCGAATACTTTTTGTGCGAAAAAACAAACAAAAATAACGAGTTTATTCGACTATTTCTTTTTTTCCTTGTAGGCCAGAACGAGACTTCCTTATAGATTTCCACGACGCATGCGCGAGAATTGCGATCTAAGCTGGTGTAAGCAGATCGCAAATCTCGCGCATGCGTCGTGGAAATCTAAGGAATTAAAAGGGCTGCCAAAAACAACACTGACCAAAACCAAAGTGTGAATTCTAACATTTGAAATTGTTTATGTTACTTTGATATTACTTTGATAATAATTTTAAAATATGATTTAAATGTATAGATATTTTTAATAATATTATTATTATAATTTTTTAATTTACCATTAATTTGTTGCGCTTTGAATTAATTGAATTTACACATTAAACTGAAAATGCTACAAAACATTACATGCATTTATAAAAATTATAAATTTGATCAATATCATTTGATATTTAGATGAGACGTGTACCAAAACCAAAGTGTGAATTCTAACATAGCGTATAATATAACATTCATAACATATAATTATTTTAAAATATAATATTATTATATTATAATTTTATAATTATAAATATTATAATCTAAATATAATAATAATAATATGTTGTTATTATTATATAATATTATTATTATATATTATTGTCATATATATATATATAATATCTATTATAATATATATTATTGTATATAATGTTATTGTTGTATAAAATGTTGTTTTTATAATCAATATCATTCTACCCTGTGAAATATTTGTTGATGAATAAAATCACACATTTTGTTCAGTTTATATTTTACATTTCAGACTTTTTTCTCTCAATTCTAACCTTTTCTCACAAATTTTGACTTTTTATTTTGAAATTTTTCTTGCAATTCAGATTTTTCTTGCAATTCTTTCTGATTTTTCTCACAATACTGAATATTTTCCTCGCAATTGCGAGTTTATATCTAACAATTCTAACTTTTCTCACAATACTGACTTTTTTATCACAATTCTGACTTAAATAACATATAAATGAGGTGTGATAAACAAATAAAGGCAGTGGCATGAGCAAATAGGCAGGTAAATCAATCAATCATGAGCCTGTAAATCTGATAATCATGATGCGCAACTGTTTCTTCTCTGCGTTGTGTTCAGGTGAATGAGTTGGTGGACTGCAGAGACGTCAGTATCGGCGCCTGGTTTGAAGGCGTCATTGATAAAGTCACTCCTGCTTGTAAAGGACAGAACAGGGTGGGCCGACCCAGCAAACGCACCAATGGCAAACTGGAGTCTGAGGCGAACGCCGACTCTACCAGCACCCCAGAGAAAGGGTTAAACTTGGACAACAGCCAATCCACAACCTCCAAAACAGATTCAGCAAACAGCCGCCAGGATGTCTCGTACCACATTAAATATGAAGAGTAAGTGCATCATGGGAAGGAAGTCTCTTTTATTTTTCCCCCTCTTTTCTGGATTGTAATTGGATTCTTACCAAGGTGCGGTGGATTGGTATTGCTGTGATTGCATGATGGGATTCGTTCTGAATAGGGTAAGTGCATCGCTTCCAAAAGCAAGCAATGCATGCTGGGAAACCAACCTGATCCAAGAACAATGTTTGTTGAGGTTAGTAATGCTCGGGTCACATGGGTCTGATTCAGTAGAGTGTGAACCGAGGTTATTATCGTTAACCTTTTAACATTTCTGTTTATAGAAATACAGCTAAAATAATATACAATCTAATTTAACTAAAATCAGAAATAAACTGAAATTAACATGAAAAGGCTAATTCAAAATTTTAAAGTCCTACTAATTTTGAAAGTCCCACACCTGACCTGTGTCGTATTTACTTTCTAGTTTTGAACATTAATTTTTTAAAAAGTTTATAAATAAATATTTACCATTGTTTATTTATTTATTTAAATGTTAAAAACTTAAATACATGATATGACAACATATTTGCAAAATATTTAAAATTATCTAAAATCTTAGTTTTTTTTTTGTTAAATGTGTAAAACAAATATTTGTCGGTTTATTTAATTCAATTCAATTTATCAAGTTCACGGATAATTGTGCGTGCATTTATTAATCATTATGATACTAAAATTATAAGTAGGCCATACTATTTACAAAAAATCAGATGAGCCCAGAATATGAACGCAACTTGTTTAATTGCACGTTAAGTATTTTCCTCCCATAGAAAACCATTATAAGAACAACGCTTATGTGGCTTAATGCAGATTAGAATGTCCCCTTGTTATGTTGAAATAAGAAGATAAGCTTTCTTTTTTTTTTCTTCACCATGCGGTTCAGGACTTCCATTGAATACAGCCTGAATATAATTGCTTCCAGAAATTATTTTTTGGGGTGCTAACGGGGAGCTTTGGTCTTTCTTGGGGGCTTTCTTTCTAACCTATGCATATGCCTATCTATTAACAGGGATTTCTTCATAAATATTCAACATTTTTATAAATGTATTTTGCATTTATGGCATTATATATGGCATTATGCATAGTAGAACTTTTTGTAGGCCTACACATTTAGGAACAGCTATTGGGTTCTGCCCAAAGTCAAGCAACATAAAATCAACGTAAAAGTAACGAGTAACCTTATAATTTACTTTCCATATGGGATGACTAAGTAAAGTAACGGATTACTTTTTTAAAGAAGTAACAAGAGTAAGAAGTTACACTACTTTTTAAAAGTAACTCCCCCAAAACTGATGCTAAACTAGAAATATGTGCAATGATATCATATCATATACATATATTTTTGTCTCCACAATAACTATATTCGTATTCAAAATGATTTCTTATGTTTTTTTTAAATAATTAAATAAAGCATGTTTAAATAATAACAACCGTTTGTTTGTTTAAAGGAAACGAATGTAACATTGTGGCCAAAACTGGTACTGCAATCACTTTCAAATTGCTGTAGAGCGGTGCATTTTATGATTCATTGAAATACATTTCTTACATACGGTTCCATTAAATGTTAAAAACTTAAAAACATGTAGACTGACATATCTTGTTAACCATCATATTTGTTTACTTTGTCCCCACAACAACTGTTGTGTTTTTTATATTAATATGTAAAATTATTTGTCATTTTATCATTTAAAAAAATAAATATATATATATATATATATATATATATATATTTAAACATGTTTATTTATTTATCCCCACAGCAGCTTTTTAAGATTGTTTATATTAATATTTGAAATTATTAATAATGTTTTTAACATGCTTAAATAATAATAATGTTTGTTTGTTTAAATGCTAAAAACCTCAAACCATGTTCAAATCAATTTACAGTCAATTATATAAATCTGCTCACATGTAGTTTTGTGTTAATAATGTGTGAAAACAAGCAGAAGTTCCAGACAAAACATCTGAAATTGATGAACATCTTTATAATAGCGTTCACTGATGAATCATTCACAATAAGACAAGAAGCACATATGAAAAAGCTTGGTCATCATCATATTAGTAGAATATTGAATATGATTGGATATGTTTAATACATTAGATTTCTTATATTAGTCGGCCTAGTTTTGTTGAAGATGCTGGAGAACTGGTTGGATCCATTTGAAGAACAGCTAAACAATAAAATAAAATGTGTTTTTCACTGCGTTTTTCACTTAGGCCTTTCACAATGACAAATTTTGCTGGACGATAAATTGTCATAGAAATTATTGCGATAAACGATAATATTTGTATTGTCGTTCTGAGACCATTTACATCTAAAAAATGATAATGGCATAATAATGCAGGTACACCTTTTCAAGGATCAATAAACTTTTATTTCTGAAGACGATTTAACACTGAAAATGGAAAACATTTTAAATATCCGCAATAAATGAACAAAACAACCCAAAACAGTAAAAGCAATGGACTCTCAGTCTCTGTTTACACAAAATGCACTACTGAAAACAATAAATAAAATGGATATAAACAAAACCCAACCTCACCCTTTGATAAATGATTTCTTATTAAAGCATTACCACACAAACCACTGTTAATTTAACATGAAAGCAAGCGGCTACTGCGTGAATGGTTTGGCATGACTGAATTATTCATTAATAATAATTCCTTAATAATCCCTCAATAATTCCTAAAATGCTGACAGTTCATCGCGATCTCACACATCTCTTATTATTAATGAAGCTGACTACACAATGAATCTTTCATAATATCTACACTTTGTTTGTTATAATTTGAGGATTTGCCATCGTACAGATTTCAGCACTGAGCAAAAAGTCTGTTTTGAGCGTTGAGGGGAGTCTATCTTAAATGCTTCTGATTGGCCTTTGCGTTAGAAATCAAGAAATCAACACATATGTCTGTGAATGGCTAACTTAGGCTACGTTCACACTGCAGGGCTTAATGCTCAATTCCGATTTTTTGAAAAAATTCTATTTTTTTGCAAGGCTGTTCACATTTCCAATTAAATGCGACCTTTTGTGATCTCCTGTGTGAACGTGAACTGACCCAGAAGTGACCCGCTTGCGCAGAAGAGTAGTCAACGGTCAACGACGTCACTTGTTGTTTGGGTTGTTTGCGGAATAGTTATTTTTTTTCCATATGTTGCGAGCTTTTGTTTTATTATTATTATTACCACAGCCCATATACAAACACAGACAACAATTATTTTATCGATGTAAGACTTGTCCGATCCTCACCGACCTCGTCATAAAACCCGTTTAATTGATAGTGCGCGTCCTCGGCACGCCTTGCTTTGTCACCAGCAGCCGCGGTGCGACACTGCTGGCTGGTGTTGCCAGATTGGGTGTTTTTTCGCTACCTTTTAAATAGGGCTGAACGATTAATTGCATTTGCAATAAAATGGCGATATGATGAAACGCGATTTTGTAATCGCAAGAGCTGCGATTACACTGGTCACGTGACACGCGAGAGAAAAGCAGTCTGCAAGATCAAGCATCAACTTGCCACACTACGCGGTCTGGCGTTCAGAAAAGAACAGTTTATTTTTAATGTATGTGTTATTTATTTTCTCCCCAACAATCCTGGATCGATTCAGAGAATATCAGAATCGAGTCTGAGCTTAGTTTTTAAACACAGATGCGTGATGACGCTGCGCGTGCTTTAGAAACGAACAGTGTTCTGCTTGCTTCTATGTTCTCTTTCTCTCTCGCTCTCTCTCTCTTCCTCACTCACACACACACGACACCGCTAGAACCTTCCAAAACATAGTAACGTTATTTCATAAAGTTCGGGGTTGAACCGAATTACAAGGACATTCGCGGGCTTCATTGAACAGGTTTTGCCGCTTTGCTTGATGTTATAACGTTACACTTGCAGTGCGCGTTCTTTCCCGCGGGAATTTTCTTTACAAATGCTTCACAGAGGCATTATTTATGTCTTTTGGAATGCAGTTGGCTTATATATTAAAACTATGAAAATCACTGAGAAGGCTGCTTTCATTTTAAAATACTAACGCGCGCTTTGTGAAGAGCGCTCGTGCATGCGGCCGTGAGCGACTCATTGGTTAAATGTGCATAAACGTGCATGTCAAAATGCTTTTATGATGGGAAATTAATGTAAACATGGTCAGTTATATCTTAAACCAACAGGACAAACCACATTTATTATTTCAAAAGAGATATATGCATTAGTGTAAATGCAGCTTAACATATCTAAACTGAGGGGAAAATCACTCCAGCTCTTGAATGAAAAACATTCAGACAGCCTACTTTTAAATAATGAGACCACTCTTTGTTTATTGCTTGTAATGCTTTTTTTGTTTCTCTTTATTTACTAGCTTTTGTATTTTGAAGCTATATTATTTTAAATAGCCTATTTAAAATTCTTAACATGTAATTGGTTTAATTAAATGTTTTTTTATATATATTTATTTTTTAAAGTATGTGTTTTTACACATGTAATTAAATACATATTTTAAGTGTTATTAAGATTAATTAAAAGAAAAAAAGTAGATCAGATCATGAGCTACCTAAAGATGCCCATCCCTACTGTACAATGATTTATTGCTTGTCTTTGTCCACTAACACAGAAGGTAAAAAACTTTATTTTTAAATCGCATATTAAATCGCAATCGCAATATTGGTTAAAAAAAATCGCAATTAGATTATTTTCCATAATCGTTCAGCCCTAATTTTAAAGTCCCCGTGAACCGGAAGTTGCAAACGATTTTTCTCCAAACGGAATATTGAACAGAGGGCAGGGTTTTACTCTAGCGCTCCTCCTCTCCATCTCTCGCCCATAGCAAACTAACGGTTTGAGGGGAGTGGTTAAGCGTTTCCCCACCTACGTCATCAGAAAAAGAAACCGTTCCAGACCGGAAGTAACTTTTCAGATTTTGATTAAAGATTACCAAGGTAAAACATTTTTTAAATATATTTTTACTTGCACGGATTAATTGTTCACCACAAGACTAGTAA